ATATGGGTATATTTGATATCAGTAGGAGCTTGATTTGTTTGGGAATAGATAATTAAATATCAGGTGTGAAAAATACATACTTACTAAATATTGAGTAAGTATTGGATATAAGAGTCAATACTTATATACCTAACTTGTATAGCTGATATATATACTTGACCTATATATTTGACTTATATATTTGATTTATATATCTAATTCATATACTTAACATATATTCTAGTTTTATATGCTTGATTTGTAATATAATGTTATGAAATTAAAATGTTTATGTTTCTTTTTTTTTTTTTTTCTTTTAGCAGTGAAGATTTAATTGAAGGAAAATTTTATGAATTTTTGTTTGTATTTCTTTTGTTATTGTATATATAAACTTATGTATATGTGAGTATATATACTCACATATTTTGTTTTATATATAAACTTATATTATATGTATAAATTTGTAATTATATATTAACTAGTGTAAAATTTAATAAATATACATGTATGCTTGTGGGTATACCTACCTAATAAGTTGGATAACAGTTATAAACTTTTAATACCCAGATAAGTACTAAGTATTGAAATTTTGTACATATCATTGTTCAAGCCAAGTACAAGTTTGAGTAAATACTTGATCCATACCTACCAATGCTCAACCCGAACTAAAATAGAGCATTAGGCCTAAGAGGCAGTCTCGAGCCCTAGTAGCTCATTAAAAGAAAGCCCATCAATTCTTTTGTCCACTTCCTTGTTTAGCTTTCTCATTTTCTGTTACACTATATAAGTAGATTTAAAAATTAATTATTAATCATTTATTTAAAATTTTAAAAAAGTAAACTTCGCTAATTTAGGACCTCTTTGTACAAATGTCAGCAAGTCAATTTCCAACCATATCTATATAAACAGTTTAGTAACTTTTTTATTTCTTTTGTTTTGCCTATTATGTTTAGATATTTTTAGATCCATATATAATGTTTTTTACTTTTATTCTAATTTAGTCTAATATGTTAGTTTTTTAAAAATAATTTCACTCCATTTAGTTAAATTAATCTTCAACTATATCTTTTTTTTGTAAATTTTTAGTCCTTAAAATTAATTTTGAGATAATACTAATTTTATAAGAATGATAAGTTTTTTTTTTCTTTTTTTTTTTAACGATTTGAGAGGCTGTAACCTTTATCACATGCTGTTTCAATTTTCTTTTTTTGACAATTTTCCTTGTTAGCAAAAATTATAATTATTGACATATTTTAATAACTTGCATAGTTTGTTGTAAACTACTTTATTGACTAGAACTATTTTGTTTTAATTTTGATTTAAATTTTTTGTAATTTTTTTTTTTATTAAAACTAATGAAAATTTTGTACAGTAGACTATTTTAAAATATTTTGCAAAGTTTCTAGACAATTTAGAAAAAAAAAATAACTTTCTAGACTAAAATGAAAATAAGCTGATAGCTAATAGACTAATCATTGAATTAAGCTATTTTGCATTTTATAAATGTGATTGTAATTCTTAACATTTTTAAAGTCATTTGATTTTTCATATCCTCTTAAAATTAATAGTAATTTTATAGTTATAATACAATGTAAAATTATAAATGTACAATCACGGCGTGACATTAATGAGTAGATTGTTATTCTTGATTTTGATGATTTAAAAACCAAATGTGAATTAGAATATTTACTTAACTTATTTGTGAATTGGAATGTTTACTTGACTTACTTGTGAATTAGAATATATATACTTAATTCATTTCTGGTGATATTAAATTGATTTTAATAAATTTTCAAATATTGTGTTTCGAATATGTTTCCTTCTTTTGGTGGAAGCCTATTTAATTGCGTGATTATCTATTCAATATATTTCCTTTTGTTGTGAGTAACGAAAACAAAAACTATATTTTAAAGTTGAGGTTTCAACCCCTAGCATAGGGTCCAGAACCTTTGATAATTCTGTTTTTGCGTGGAATTGCAAGAAATTGCTCAGGTTCCAACCCCCCAA